ACACAATCATTCTAGCTGTACACCTTAGCATAAAATTAAGAAATATAATTTAGTAATTATACCATTAATTATCAGGGACTGAGCTAGAAATAAAGATGATGATAATGAACAAGCAGTTTAGTTCCCTGGCATGTAATGACATGCAGTTATTTGCAGCTTTTCTGGATTATTTCCACATCTACATTTGGCACCTCTGCCACCTGACTGTTTTATAGATGAATGAATGTTGTGCTGAAAGAATGATTTTGTTTTGCCTCCAGTCATGAATAAACAAGTGGCTTAGAGAGAAAGATTCAGCAGTATTATGTACAAAAAAAAATGAATGCATTAGGTATTGTATTAGAAGACAGAAAGCATTTTGGTGTACTCCTTTATTTAAATTTTTTTTTTTATATACGTGACCCTGGACCACTAAACCAGTCTTAAGTCGCTGGGGTATATTTGTAGCAATTGCCAAAATACATTGTATGGGTCAAAATTATAGATTTTTCTTTTATGCCAAAAATCATTAGGATATTAAGTAAAGATCATGTTCCATCAAGATATTTTGTAAATGTCCTACTGTAAATATATCAAAATATGATATTGTATTAAACATATTTGTATAAAATGTTTACTATATTATTTTTTACATTTCATTACATTACATTTTACAATTAAAAATTATATATATATATATAGATATACTGTATATATATATATATAATTTTACAAAATATACAATATTACAAATATACATATATTTTATTTTAAAATTGAACAATATATTAATAATAAGTTTAATACATTTCAGTGTTTCAAATATATTTTTAATAATATTTAATAGAATTCAAGTTTTTGTTATTGAACATCCTTTAAAAATTTTGAGAAAACTAAGAATAGAAAGAAAGACATTTCGAGAAATAACTATCAATGAATTATCAAACTGATGGAGCTCTATGTGGTCCTGAATAGAGTTCCCTTCCTGCTCCTATTTTAGCCTAACAATAGTGTCTGTCCAAGCTGTCCATTCAGCAGAACATCAAACGTACGCGTGGATCAGATCACATTTATTTGTGAACACGCTTGGCAGCTTTCAGCAGCACAGCTACCCATTCAGCAATTTATGGTGGACATCTTCCAAGTTTTTGCTTTAAGTGGATACCTTCCTTGCCCAGAGGAGAATGTTGAATTATGATGAAGGTGAATCTGAACGTGTCCTCTCTCTAACTCACACTCACAGGAAAGAACAGGACTGAGGCTTGGCAAGGAGAGAGAGAGAAGCTTCTATTTTTAGCTTTGATGGGGATGGCAGCGCATCTGAAACATCTAACAGGCACACTGAGGGAGCGTTTATGTGAGAACAGTGCTCAGCAGAAAAGACCGAAAGCTTCGAGGCTCATGTTTAATTGACAGAAATTTGTCTTGAGCTCTAGCACCATAGTTAATGCTCAAAACCACTGCAGATAATTGCTTCAATCTACCACTGATCACTGAGCTAGAACTCCGTAAAATCTCATAGAATGTTGAGTTTGTGCTTAATAAGGTCTGAGAACCGTCAGATTTCCCAGTGGAGACGGAGGGCAAGGCATCTGCTTTTGATGTGCAGAAAATTGAAAAAGGAAAAAAGCAAAAGAGAGATGGGAAAAAAGGACAAAGACTTCCTGTTTTAAACCCAAACACATAGATTCTATCCCCTTCTATTCTTTGGTTTTATAGATGATCAGTCATAAAGTTGGAGAGTGTGGTGGGAATGCAGAAAGCTATATTTTGCACAAAAATGTGCCTTAGTGTTTTTCTGTCTACATAATAAAAGTCCGTTTCGAACCCATGATTCCAGACACCTTCTTTTGTGTTCCAAAGAAGTAAGGTAGTCATACAGGTTTGGAACGACATCATGATGCCATTTCATTTTTGAGTCAACTATCCCTTTAAGAGTCCTTCACACTATAATGATCTACAATATGTCAGTGCGTTTATCTGCACACCTGATTGCTTTCATTATTATTAGGCCTATACACTAATGTGTGAGCATGCACGAGTGCAGAATCACAGTAGTCATCTCTGAGTGTGAAATATTAGCAGCAGGCTGCTTTTCTAACATCACTAGAGGATGAAGGTAATTATTCCTCTGTCGAGATGAATGTGCAACCACTGTCTTTGCTACAGTTGACATCGATTTTCTTTATAAGCAAGATCAGCTTGTGACGAATGGTTTCAATTTGACTTCCTTCTCTCACTCGATCTTTCTTCTGTGCCCAACACACACAAATGCAGATCACAATCAATATGTCAATTAAACAAGATCTACTGGAATTTCACCACCTGCAAGCTCTATTCGGTTCAATCACTGATTCTTTAGAGTTTAGTTATTAGGGATGTGCTGTGGTTAGTCCTGTGAGGCCAGACTTTTCACTTGCAGCTTTTTTGAAGCCTAGGTTAATTTCACACTGTGTTTGTCATTGAAAACGATTAAAATTCAGCATGAAATGGAAATTGTGATCATCTTCCCATATTATCTGAGAGAAACATCTTCTCGAGAAAAAATAAATGTAAGGTGGGACTTGATTTAGTTAGTAGTTTTCCTATGGTCTCAAAGGCTAACAGTATTTGAGTCGCTGATATATGAACAAATGTGTGATGTCAGCGTCTATTCACAGCTTGCTTATTTATGTATGTATTGCATGTATGTATGTATTTATTTTGTATGTATCTACGTAACTTCCTGTGCTGAATTTTCTGAAACAGATGATACTACAAAAATAGACTGAAGAAATCTATCAAAATAGCCTAACGCTAAAGAATTTGTGTTGATTATTTCAGAGTCAGTAAACAAAGCAGAATGTAGGCCTAATTCTGATGGTCAATATCTAATTTGCTTGTTTAATGCCTCACATAAACTCTGAATATCTTTCAAAGATTTTCCATGAATAAGGTAAATAAATCCAGTGATATTTTAGTAGCTGAAGGCTGATATGTACATAATGCAATTTAATGAGAGAAGAACAAAACCGCTTGAATGAGTATTCTTTTTGTACAATATTTAATAAAAAAATTACTCCGAAGCATAATGACAAAATGTTTTCTGAGACAGAGAGGTCTGCTCAAATCATTTATGTAACCCATGTAATTTATCAAATAAAACAATAAAATTTAATGTCATGGTATGACATGATATGCCACATCTGGCCTCCTATCAGAAATTCAGTATCAGTAGTTATATTATTATTTTTTACAATTTATCAATAATTTTATATAAAGACCTAAACTTAAAAAAAATCACCCGAAAAATATGCTGATATTTTTAGGCTATGTAAAGAAAACGGAAAATTTTAGTGTTTGCAACTAATTAATTTTTTCTCAAAGTTGTTGTTACGGGGCTGACGGGACGAGAGGCGTGCGGATCCATGTGCAAGCTTTTATTAATAAACACATTAATAAAAACAATTAGTCAAATACATAGGCAGTGTCGAACAACAGCAAACACGTATGGCACAGGCAAGACAAAAGAGCAATCCTAAACGGGCTGGAGTCAGACGATAGCAAACGTAATCCAGAGGGCTTGAAAAGAGGGGTAATCCGTAAACGTGAGCATAAGGCCAGGCGAGGAGCAAACACAGTCCGAAACAGCAAGCAAAGGGTTAATCCAAGATACGTGGCAAGAATCAGGAACCAGGAAAACAGGCAAGACTATGACTATGACTAGATTATGAAAACTAGGGCAGGCTCCGTAAAGTAGCTATCAAAGTGATAAACGCTAAACAATACTCAGCGTTGAATGGTGGTGTGAGACTGATTTATATAGTGTGTGTTATTGGTAGCAGCTGTGTGTGATTGGTTTCAGGTGAGCTTGTGATTAGTGCAATGGAGTATGGGAAATGTAGTCCAGGGTGAGGCGTAACAGTCTGTGTAGTGTGAGAGTCCATGTGGAGGGCGGGTGACCTCTGGTGGTGAGAGAACCAAAGTTTATAGACCGGATTCGTGACAGTTGTGATGTGGTCTTTTTCTGATCATTTAAAGGGGTCATATGATGCTGCTAAAAAGAACAGTATTTTGTGTATTTGGTGTAATGAAATGTGTTTATGCGGTTTAAGGTTCAAAAAACACATTATTTTCCACATACTGTACATTATTGTTTCTCCTCTATGCCCCGCCTTTCTGAAACGTGTCGATTTTTACAAAGCTCATCGGTCTGAAAA